CTCCAACTGAATTATCTGGGTTTCTTTTGGGGTTTTTTTGGTTTTTTTTTTTTTTTTNTTTTTTTTTTTTTTTTTTTTTTTTTTTTGTTTGTTTGTTTATTGTGATTTCTTTTGGTGATTTTTTTTTTTTTTTTTTTTTTTTTTTTGTCCTGAGGAAGGGAAACTCTTCAGCCAGCCACTTCAAGGTACAACAGGAGGTAGAAAACAAGGAAAGTCGAACAATGCTTTCATGACTATCACACTCTGCTTTGCTATGTACTGCAGGAGGTAGACAGAAAAGTATGGCCCACCTCTTTACATGCTTTTTTCTGATCTGATTTGACTAGGATTGTTTTTTTTCCCAAAATATGCATTCTTCTATGTGCCTGCTGAGAAGGAGGACTGATTTTCCTGCAGGCTCTTCAACACTAAAATTTGGGAGCAGCATAAGAGCACTGTGATTTTCAAACCATGTGCAGTTTGACTGTAACATAGGAAAAAGGTATTTATTATGAAACAGTTCAAAATCTACATCCTCACAATGTAACAAAAGAGCAAAAGTTTGGTTAGGGTGTAGACTGTTAGTTCAAGCTGCCTCTCAAGGTTCACATGAAACTTATGTCTTAACAAAAGCCAGGGTCCTAGTGGATCCCCTTCAAAGCACAATACACAGTCTGAGGTCAATTTAAAAAATTACATTTTCTAATTTATGTCCATTAATGCTGGTCTGTAGCAGCTCTGGACTAGCAGTCTCTAGTTGCCATTAGCAATGCTGCAATGATAGCATTGGCTCTACAAGTCTGTTTTCCTTGGTTCCCTGTTGCAGAGTAATAGGAAAACCTCCAATTGCCAACAGAGAACTGCAGTGTCAGATTAGATGGATGTGCATCAAAACTTCTCTCCTTTGAGGTAGGTAGAAGCCTGCCTGCTTGATACACAAACTGAAAAGATTTCTCCTCTCTAAAGAGATGATTGCAGTGCTGAACTGTCTCCTCTCAGAGAGCCCCATCTCGCCAACTTTGAGGCCTGAGAAGCAGGTGACAGAATTGGTTTAATTTTTCTCCTGCTGCCTTTGATGTTCCCCAGCTCATTCCTTGCCTGCACCTGAAGCTGCATTTTCAAAATTACTTGCAAGCTCTGCCACTCTTTCTCTTGCAAGCTGAAAAGACATCTTCTGCAGTGCTCATTCAGAAGAATAGAAAATCACATTTTACATCACCGGGCCATAATGTATGTCTTGTTGCCATTCACAATGTGAGAAATCAATCCTCCTCTTGGTCAGTTTGTACATGGGTTCAATGACAAAAGGGCCCAGAAAGACTTAATTCTTTCCTTTAAGTATACAAGCCCCTGACTGCCAGCTTTAGAAATGCATTATAAAACCTGATCTCTTTGTTCCCTATGCCTGTGACTCATATCAACTAGAAAAAAATAGCTGAAAATGAAAGTTTGATGAAAAAGCCCACACTAAAACAATATATTCAAAGTGACAACAGTTTCAGTATTGCATTTCAGGTATCATATTTCAGTATTCAATATTAGTCATTAGTTTGCATGCCAGGGCCTGGCTGAGGGTGAAAAGCGTTATATTTCAGCTTGTGTTACAGATGTGGTGGCTCAGAGTCACCAGCTTTTCAATTCCCCCAGCAGTTCCTGGGGGAGAAGACAGAGGATTATGGTTATTACAAGGCCAAGATAATCCCTCTGCAAATCCAAATATACAGAGCATAGAGCCAGGCCTAAGCTCTGCTAGGGAAGACCTGGTTTCCAGCTTTATTAAGCACAGGAGGAAGGTGTGCAGAGAGATGATCAGAAGATACCCTCAGCCAGGTTGTATCAATTGATTCTCCAGCACATGGAAGAAGCAATTCCATGTTGGATTTCAGATCAGTGTAATTTCTGCAAGACCTATTGCTATACTCAGACCTTCCCTCCATCCCCGCAACCCAAGTTGATCCAAGGATAGTGTTTATCACCTGTAATCAAATTACAGAAGTTTCTAAGTGTATGCTGGACTTGTAAAAAGAAGGTTTCAGATAGCAAACACACTTCAAAATAGGGTGGAGAAAGTTTGCACATGCAGTTCAATAGGTACACCTGAGAACACGTTTCATTTGGATTTAAGTGGTGTTACCTCCTTTTAGCAATCTTCAAAACTTTAAAAAAAAAAAGCCACCCAAACTTCCCTGTGTATATTTCGAACACACTTAAAATGCATTGACTTAGAATAACTGTGTAGCATGCTTTTTGGCAAAAACTGTGAAGCATTTCCTCATGAGGAACTCCTAGGTAAAGTAATTCAGTCATTCAGTGTATAAACACTCACATACCAGGACCATCAAGCTTCTATATTGAGTTTGTGCCTATAAACTACCAGAAGATTCCTGAAGCAGCACAAAATTAAGATGCAGTATTGATTTTTTTGACAGAACTTTCCCAATATTTCAAATAAAAATTGCTGCTGCATTTAACAACAGACTTAAACAAACATTTTCCATTTTTCTTCTTTCTCCCTTCTCTACATGTAATCTGGTTTCAGCTGCAGTGTTTCATGTTGCTTCAAACAAAAAATTGTAATCTTAGCATCACAAGACCTCTATGACTTGTTAAAAACAATCTGTTGTGAGTTACGACTGTGCTAATTTTAGGAAAAAGTTAACAATGTGCTTATTAATATTTAAAGCAACTATTTTATACTACCTTGTCCACCCATATCCACCTTTGTTTGGGTGGTGTAAGCTGCACAGGTAAGAGCAGTACTGGGGTCAGAGAGGAATCAGGCAGATACGCTCCCTCTTTCCAACTGCATCCCAGCCCATTTGCTACAGGAAGCCAACTATGTCTAAAGGGATAGAGACACTGATTTCTTCTTACCTAGCTGATTGCTCTGTGACTTGGCTGGTTCGGATTTCTGCAGGCAGCAGGGAGGATGAGGGATGAACAAGTGAAAAGCGAGTGCAGAATGTGTGGGCTCCTTCTCCAGAGGAGCAGAATGACAAGTGCTTCCCTTGAGGCAACACACACAAAGTGCAGAGTACACGAGGCCCACAGGTTGTTCCTCACCAATGTGCCTGAGGCTTTTTAACACTTACAGGACCAGCTGGGCCCCAGCTGTCTTTTCTTGCAGTCTGTCAGGGAATGGATCCCTTGTTCCGTGCACCTTCAGCAACAAACCAAACCACACATAGCGACACAGGATGAGGTGGAACACTGGCAACAAAGCACATGGAAGCTGACAAGATTGCATGACAAGAATGATACTGTATTATGAATGTAGGTGTGTAAATAATAAAGTGCCATTGCCCCACACTTCAATGTGACTATTCAAAGAACCATCCTCCAGAATGCTTTCAGAACAGCAGCTAAACTAGACTTTTGTTTCAGTGGATCCAACAAAGTTTCTCTTTTTTCCTTTCTTAAATAAAATGCTGCCGAAATAGAGGAAGACTAGTCTGGAGAAACCAAAGCCAGCCTCTGTGATTACACATTTTAGGCTTACTCTGGCATTTTCACATCTCAGTGCACAGTTGCTTTATTGTCTTCCCCTCTCTACAGATTGTACTAGAAACATTGATCCACCACAGCATTAGTAACTACAGGGGAAATCAGGTACAAGCATATCTACCCACCCTCCCCCAAAATCTTTCAAAAATAAATAATGCATCATAACCAGATCAACAAGATTGACATTTTTTATTTGTACTTAGCACATACAGGAAAGATCAAAGCAAATAATAAAAGATAGCATTTGTAAACAAATGTATTTCACAAAAAGTCAAACTATCAAATTTGCTCTGAAAAAATTCACTATAGCCATTTATAAATGTGTATTTATCAAAATCAAGTTAAAAACTACTTCATCTTGAAAACATCCCAAATGAAGATTCATCCATTCCAACAAGTTCAGAGAGACCACAGATGTAAGGTCTAACTAAAACAAATACACGAGTAAAGATGGCACTGTGATTTTTGGTTTGAAGATAACAAAAAAAGTCTGCAAGTGATCAAAATCCCAGCCATTCCAATTCAAAGTCCTAGATCTGCAAAATATACATTCAACTTCACAAATGTCTAACTTTAAAAAAATAGAGCTATTCCACTGGAATGTCCTCATTTTTAATGCACTGATTATATGTTGTGTTTTTGAGCCCACTCAGAGAAAAGTTACCAGTAGGTAGTTTCATGTAATTATAACGCTCACTTCCATAATCACATTAAAAATAAGATTACAGCAGCACCCTTTTAGCAAGGATTAATTTTTAACATTCTTGCCTTTATAGCAGCAAGTATGGTTTTGGGGAATGCTATCAATATAAGAAGTAAAAAAGATATACATACTCTGTGAAATTTATTACAGTGTTCTTTCCCTATACTTGTCTTCAAAGTTAGGTAAGCACCTCTATTTTCTTCTGCAGAACACAAAACTAGAAACAAATGACATCCAAATGTATGACTGCCTCAATAGGCTCCCTTTGTTGGTGGCCCACAAGCCAATTTGATTGCCAGTATGAACTCTGTTTTTTCCTCCCTCCAAGCTCCTCTTTGCATGCCACTAAAAACCAAAGTTCTCAGTCTATTAATTTGACTCAAAAGAAACAAGGTAATAAAAATAACTAAGGCACAAATGTCTGATCTTCAACAGCAGGCAGAGGGTCACAGATTTGAAATTAGGGTAGATTGAAAACGTCCAGAAATATTTCTGGTCTCAGGACACTGAAAATTCTTATCAGAATTCAAAAAAGGTTTTTAAAGATTTTTTTTTAAACGAAGATATGGAAAACACTTTTCCCAAGAATGTCCACAAACATTAAACAAGGATGGATGTACATACAAAGACACACACTTTATGCACAATACACTTTGAACATACTGCAGACAGACAAGGACCATGGAATGCAATGATGTCTAAGATGGCAGGTGAAATGAAGATGGCTCTTTTTCAGAGAGTCGTCATGAGTTTATCTTGGTACACCATGCTTTGGACTCCTCCTAAATTCTTCTGGTTCTGCTCCTGGATATACCGTAAAATGCTGTCCTCTCCACTTGTGGGGGGTTTCCAATAGGGCCTGTCATCATGATAGGGTGGCCTGTACCATTTGCACAGTTATTGGTTAGTGAGGAATGGAAGTCAACTTAGGAGTGCTACACACTAACACGAGCTCGTCCTGCAAGTGCTAAGCATGCACATGGAGCTACAGCACGGCAAGGAAATGGGGACAGACCAAACAGTCTGATGCTGAAGCTGCTGAAGCAACTGGGAATCTTCTAGCTGATTTCAAAAGGCTTTCAACCAGAGCTCAATCATTGAAAACCCTCTCTCATTGCAATGTTACAGACAAGCATAGTGCATCAATGCTACGGAATTCCAAACTGGGAGGGGGGAGGTGGGGAAGGAGGAGGAGTCTACGGGAGAACTAAATTTGTACAACAAACAGTTAAAATAAAGCATATCATGCAAAACGCTGAGCTCATGAAAGTACATCCTTAAAGTGCAAAGGGTTAAGAAAGGCAATCCTATTATGAATGAAAATTGCTCCTCTGTAGTTGCTGCCATTCCTTTGGCACTGGTGCAGTTAATTAACACTAAAGCAACCTGTAATTTACAGAGTTGCATTTTCTTAAGAACACCCCCAGTCTACAGTTAGTACAGGTAATGCTCTGAGACTTGCAAAAGTACTACAAGGAAAATATCTTTTTCCTTACTTGTACATTACTTATTGCTGTTTAGAGATACTAACTTCAACCATTCCTACAGTGTCCCTGAATCATTGCAGCGGAGTGGGGAATAAATAAAACAACAATTTTGAACACTATGTAGGAAACCACAACATTTAACATTACCTTATTACCAAATTGAAGCTGCAATTATTATATATACGGAAGAAATTCTTTTCTGTGAGGGTGGTGAGGCACTGAAACAGGTTGCACAGAGAAGCTGTGGATGCTCCATTCCTGGAAGTGTTCAAAGCCAGGTTGGATGGGGCTTTGGGCCACCTGGTCTAGTGGAAGGTGTCCCTGGCCAAGGCAGGGGGTTGGAACCAGATGATCTTTAAGGTCTCTTCCAACCCAAGACATTCTATGATTCTGATAATTTTTTTTATAGTAGCAGAAACACAGGCAAGGTTTAGATTTTACCTTTTTTAGATATATTCTAAAGTTATATAATGACAGCTGTTAATTGGAATTCTCTTTTCTGAAGGTTAAATATTAAGCTAACTGCAAACAATTTCACTGAAAGAATCTGCAAACAATTTCAGTGAAAGAATTTTAGAATTTTACTAAGAAAACGGAGACACAATTCCACATACTATTTCACAAATTATTCAACAAAAGCTCCATATTTAACATGTATTACACAGGTCATTTCATTTCAGCCCATGCCTATTCCAGACTTTCATGCACAGCAGAAAGAATTTTATACATCTGTAAGTTGTGATCTCAAGTTCGCAATCAAATGCAATAAGATTTTTCAAATCAAGCTGTCCAAGATCTTAAATATCCAGTTATTTCACTTTGACTCCAACTTAGAATAACTTGAAACTTCCACTTTAACTACACATTTAAGTGCTTCTACCTGAATGGGACAAAAATTCTGAGCACCTTTTCTACCAAGCTTCTATGCTGAGCTTTTAAGTATGGGTTTTGTTTTTTCAGCCATACAAGCCTCTGTATAAAAAAGCCATTGTTCATATTTCACTGACCTTAGTCTTTGCCCAGGCAGTGGAGGGGCTGAAGGGGGAGGTTGTCTACACACACTACAATACATTATTGTGCTTATTTCAATATCACTCTGCTCCAGGGTGAACTGTTTGGCTTTAAAATGTCACGGACTGGTATTGTAAGTGATGAAATCTTTAGAAAAATTTCAGCAAAACCTCAAATGATTTATAAAATCATTAGGCTCTCTTGGCAGCCACTCTTTCATAATGTGGAATTGTACATTTTAAAGTGCTCATAATAAACTGCATAAAGAAACCCGAAAACCAGGAAGACTCCTGAGCCTGAAATACAGGCAAAGTTCATTACACATCTTCAAGCCTCCTGTTTCTAACACATATTTAGTATCTGCTTTACTGCTGTGCACTGGGAATTTTGAGATGACAATGCCTGTCTGCTTCTCTGCCTAGTATTTCTAATACTGTATTTGCCCTTTCCCTTTGCATTCTCAGACCCAAACTAATACCAAATTGTCTTTTCATCCACTTTAAACTTAGCCTCATCCCCAGAGCCTGCCCACACTAAAACCAAAGTCTGCCTACTGTGATGTAATAATATAAATGTTAGATAAGGAGAAACAAAGATTAGGGTATTGGTATTTTTCACTGAAGACAGTAATTATTTGTCTAAAAAACTGAGTCATCTAGAAAGGTTACTTTTTATTAGGAAAAAATAGTAGCTGGTTTTTATCATGTGTACATGTATAGACACATATCCACCAGCAGGTGCATGCCTTCACCATGCATTCCACCAAGTGGGTTTTAATTGGACTGAATTTCTTCCAAAAATTTCTTTTCACTCAATGTCTCTCATTACTAACTACAAACAAAAAGGTATGCGAAAAGATAGCACAAGAGCACATGCAGGAATGCTTTTGTGAAACAGTTCTCAAAAACTCAGTGCTATAATTTTACTCATTATCTGTAATGTTCCTGATAAATTGTTCCATGTACTTGTCATTTTTTCATATACATTTCTGCAAAAGATGAAAACAGTGCTCTACTGCAAGAATATAACTATTAATAAAACTTAACTTTACACTAAAATGAGTTTCTTCTCTGTCTTAGGAAATTAAATACAAACAAATACTGATCAATTTGCAAATAAGCTACAGAGCAGCTCCCTATCCAACATACTCCCTACAGGAGATCACTAACATTCCATTTTGAATTAGAAATAAACTAGTAAAAAAAATTAATATTCCAAAGCAAAACTTAGAAGTTATTTAATACTTTCTCTATATCCCATACTTCTAACTTGTTAACTTTTCATGTGAAGAGAACTGCCCAACAGGGCCACCAAAGCTTCATACTGAGTAACATAAAGTCATCATCTTTTCTTCACAAAGGGAAGATTGCTTACCTTACATTCACAGGTGTGTGTGGATGCCAGTGTGGCTGAGCAGGATGTATATTAGGATGATACTGGGGCTGCAAATGGAAACATTGAACCTGGTTAATAAAATCATATTAAAGCTCCCTATTAACTTTTATTTTCCTGGGGTCATGAGGAATATGTTCCTGGTGAACCTTAGAAACCCTACTGCTTCCAACCTTCTCCCGTGTCACTGAGCACATACTTGAAGCCTCTTGGTGATGACCCTGCTCATTAGGACACACTCATGGGACAATGCAAAGAAAATTGCTCTCCTGTTTGACAGACAACCTGGCACATCTAGTGCTTCTAAGAGAAAGCACATAAAAAAATGTCACCTTTGATCAAAAGTGGAGAGTAAGAAAGGTTATAAAGAGCAGGCTTCAGAAGGTCTCCTGTCTTTGGTGACAGGACTTCCTTCTCATATCCATAAGATCTTAAGGAGAAAGAGTAAAACAAAGTCAATGCTGAGAGTTTTAATAAAAAGAGTTAAGACTAAGTTCTCATGTACGTACAGAGTTCGGAAGCTTGTTTTTCCTCTGTACCCACTGACTGTCAGTAGCACAGATGAAAACCAGGTAATGTTTTCCCTGGAGTGTATAAAAAAATCCCAACAAGCATTTGACCAGCAGGGAACTCTCTAAGTGTTGTGATGAGGGAGGTAATTGCAACTTTGAAATTGTCACGATCACCTACTGTGAGAGACTCCTCTAGACAAAAGCTTGCTCTTACAGAAGTCTCCTGGGGCCCATCACATTCACAGTCCAAAAGACTTCCACATTCACAGAAAGAAACGGAAGGGAAAAAAGATGGCAAATGAAGTGTACTCAGCTTGCAGAGCATCCAAGAACACAGGGGAAAAAAGAGAAAACTCCTTAACCCCAAAATGGTGCTGTTTATTTCTGACCCATCAGAAAATCTTACCCCAGAGTAAGGAAAGGGGAGTAAAACAGTTGTACAAACTATAAAGAGTAAAAATATTTACCATAAAATATAGAAATTACCACATATTCCTCTGGTATGCTCTTACCTGGTAGTTATGGACTTCAGGAGTACTTTTAGCACTAAGAGAGAAAAAAAAATGCTCTTATGTAATCAATACATCTACATCACAATGTTCTTTAGTTCAGGGAAGTACTACAGAGAAAATGCATATTCTTAAGGGCATCATTATTTTATTCAAAATATACACCACAGCAGTTAACATGTGAAAGAGGGGTGTAAGCTTTTTTTTCTTTGCTTTAGATTTAAAAACATGAACGAATTATGCTTGATAAACTAGCATAAGAGCAGTGAGCAAAAAGGAAGTACGTTTTACTTTAGTCTGATTTCATACATAAAAATAATAAAGGAAATAGATTAAACAGTTGAAGCAGAAGAATCTGAAGATGCATAATGAGACATACCAAAACAATTCATCCCACACCAGAGAATCTGTTTCTATAAATCCTAAAGCAGATATTGTCTTCAAAATCCTTTTAGCCCGAGAACAGCAACTCAAAGGTAGAGAGAAGCTGAGCAGTCACTTACCACAGTTGTGCTGCTTTCACAGGATTGTTTGCTTAAAAAGAAACAAACACAAAATGTTAAGATAAGTGAAATATCAGCCATTTTGCAGCTCTTGTTGTTGAGCTGCTATACTATGGCTAAAGTGGATCCTCATACAAACACATTTGCACAGAAGTGCCTGAATTTCAAGTGCAGCCCTGTGCATTCTAGTAATTCTGTGCAACATCATAAAGTATGAGGCAGACACAAATCTCCCTCTGGTCCTGCAAGAGTGAAAGCCCTTTAGAGATGACAGCAGCAAAGCATATTCTTTGCAAATGCCACAACAGGACTTTTGGCAGAGTACGTTCTGCACAACCAGAACGGTTTTTTTCTCATCTTACTGTAGTACCATACCAATATCATCAACTCCATTGAAAATCAGAAACTACCCCTTGCAGAAATTTTCACTATCTTTCAGAAACCAGAGTATTCACAAAGCTGGTAATAGCCTGTGTCTTACTGCAGGGAACAATGGTAGCCAAAATAGCCCATCAGTTGGGAATCCTGGGAGGCATAGAGTAATCTTGAGGAATAAGGTCTTGGCCTCTGCTTTGGACAGGCTGGAAAGAATGGTGAAGGTGGCAGCTGAGTAACTGGGGTGTATCATCTCTTTTTCATGACTGTGTGTGTTTCAGGAGAACTGAAAAACTTCTCAGAGAGAAAGTGAAAATCCAACTGACTGCTGAATGCAGGAAGTTAATGACAGACTGTAGAAGTCTCAAAAGGGACTAGGAGAGAATCCAACCCTCGTGGGCTGCATTTAGGTATAGGGCTTAATGGCCAAAAGATGCATGAAAGACAACAACCTACAGGGAGCTTTTGCATTAACTTAAAAACATGCTATTCAGCTCTCTAGAAGGCGATCACTTGGGTGTGAAAGAAGCTTTGACTGGCTGCAGTGGACATAATTAAGCATAAGACACACTTTCTCTTCTGCCTCTATCTCACAGACAAAAGTACAGAAGCATTGAGACTCAAGGCAAAACCTGCAGTTTTACTAGATCCTGTTATGGCAAGAATTAAATTTAAAGAATTCATTCTTCCAGTTACAAAATAACCCACACTATATAGTTGACTCTCCTGTCTCACATAACAGCATCTCACATATTTATTAAATTTGCATTTCAGTTAAACAAACTCCTTCCATGTACTACAGAAGGAAGCAGGGGGAAGAGTTACAGCCTCTAAAAAGCATGCATGCTTGTCACCCTTTCCCCCCCCCACCTGTAAATGAGACAAAAATGTCCCCATAATACCACAAGGGCTGCTCATGGAACTGTGGGTTGTATTCTGGGAATGCAAATGAGTGCAAAGACATTCTAAGGGAATGTCATCTCACTCTACTGTATATGGCAGCCATACCTGCAGGCTCAAGTAATACAGAATTTGGAGAGGGTTATCCTGCAGTGCTCCTTCCTAGGAAGAACAAAAAGCTCAAGCTTTTTCTACATGGAACAAAAAGCTCAAGTTTTTAAGGACAAATTACAAAACCAAAAGGGAAATGAATTCCTTGTCATTCCATTTCAATTCACCACATCTCAATTCCCAGGGCAAGCTAGTTAAGGTCAGAGCCTGAACAGGTGAATAACATGTCATTACAGTCACGAAAGCCACAACTGCATAATGAGACTGCCCAATAACCCTAAGAAATTGTCTGGCTAGATAAGAAAGTCAGCAAGGCTTTTAGATACTACTCCACCCCACATGACACAATTCTTCAAAAGCAATTCTTCAAAAAAACATTACATGTTTTGCCTTGGTGGGTTTTATGCAACTTTTCTTTCCTCCTCAGTAGAGCAACAAAAGAAAACATAGGTACTTCCTCCATAGAAGGGGGTGGAAGAATTAATTGTACATAGAGATTAAAAACAGAAGAGGGAAATGACGAACTCTGGCAAAAAAAGCTTCATGCACATTCTGGTTTTTTAGGTGATCTGACATACTCCTCTTTTTATACGGTGGTACAGATGTAATGATTGTGATGCGACATTTCTAGGATTTAACGGGACACCTGCATGACCAGTTCAGTGCACAGATGCCTGCACTTACCCTTGTAAGTGGAATGCCTCCGAGAAGGGTATCTCTTGCTGGGCCTCCTTTCAAATGTACTAGTTCTGCGTAATCTCGTCCCGTGTGTTGCTTGATATTCTGTCCTCCCACTTAAAACACAGAAATAAACAAAGTAAACTGCTGCCTTCTGCTGGAAGCTGTACCTGCTCCTTTGTATAAATATATTGCTGATACTTCACTAAATACCTGAATCTGAAGCGTGATCCCAGCCTTATGAAGTCGGATCTACTAGATTTACTATTTGCTGGGGCTCGCAATCTGAAGAAAGCATGGTGCTCCACCGCACACTTCCACAAATGTTTGCACGTTTTGGCACTGTCTAACCGGAAAACAAATGTGTGCTCTTGCTCTCTGCCCTAAATGCAGAAACAAAAGCTTTGGAAGTTGGCATGCATGATATTAGTTATTGTCCTTGGTAGGAGAAACACAGCCTGGGCCAACAGTGTGCTGAGCCTCCCTTGTGTTCTTACCAGCATGAGCACACACCACACTTTGTTGGATCAGGCCCAAGTAAGAGAAAGAAGTTACCTGTTCATCATCTTCTACAACCACGAGTGTTAGTTTGCTCTTTTTAAAGTCCATTTTTGTGATTTTAGGCCTAAACACAAGAGTCAAAAAGAAGAGAATTAAAATAATATTAAAATAATTTTATTTCTTGTGAGAACCCTGGGTTTAGTTTGGGGTCTCGTGTGGTGGTAAAGTCTCTCCTCCAGCCTGTGTGTCCAAAGAAAAACTCCGCAGCCTTTTGATGTTCGGTCTCAAGGCAGTTTATTGTTGGTTATCTAAAAGATTGTCTTTGCGGGCTGCGGCCCTTTGGTCAGCGGCCTGGGTAGAGGCACACACACACCCTGACATCCTCTCTGTCTGGTGTCTTCTTCTTCTCCTCTCCCCCCGCCCAGGGCTGCTGCTATCTTTTATATGATATATTACGTATAACATGTTTGTAGTTTTCCCCCAATACCTACTACCTATATTACAAGGTGCTTTTCTACTCTAAACCAATCTGTGAATGCCAACATCACCAAGAGCATGGAGGCAAGGAAGAAGAAGGAGGAAGAACAGGATCAGCCCACTTTCCTCCATCTTAGAACTTCTGACTCCCATGTACAAGATAACAACCCCCCTGTACAGGTGCTAAAACTCCCCTGTACAATACGAAAAAAAATTCCCCTCTGCTTTGTAGCTACTTTTACTATACTATCTAACCCTTTGTGACTGCTTGTTCCACCTTCAAAGTTGGTAATTCATTCCATGGCTCAAACTCAAAATCACAGCTGTTTCCAGCTGCCTGCTGTGATATAAAATGCTTCTGACCAAGGCCTGGAACCTCTAAAAATGTATGAGAGACATTTTGAGTTCCCACAATTTCTACAACTATTTCACATTTAAGAGCGGTACTTCTAACCAGGCTAATCTACCTTCAGATTTAACCTTCAGATTTTAAACTTTGTAGATTCAATGATAAATTACAAGCCAAGATCCCATTATGCAAAGAGAACGATTTCAACATTTTAACTAAAAGGAATATAACACAAAAGCAGATTACCAAAAGAATAAGCCTATTTTGTTGGCTCCTTCAAAGATCAATATGCCTGTTGGTGTCAGTCCAAGAGCATATTCACAACCATCTCTTCCCTGCAAGCAAGTACAGAATAAATAATCAATCTTCCATGAACAGTGTAAACCTTAATACAGTAGTATTGCAAAATCCATAGGTCTTAAACTAAACAATAAAGTTGCCATACTTTTTTAACATTACAGAGCAGAAGAATATGTATCTGTATTGAGTGCAAAGTGGCATATTTTGGCAACAGGAGGCTGCAAGTTGCCCTTTGTGGGAGGAGGCCATGTGCTGCTCAAAGTGGCTCCGAGACCCATGGAGATGGACCCACGCCAACACTGTATCCAGGGCAGCCCATACCTCACCTCACCTGTTTAAGAGCAGGCAGTTCCTGCCAGGGGAAGGAGACACAACAGGAAGAAACTGAGGGACACAGGAAAAGGCATGTGGAAAGGGATGCTGTGGGAGCACAGAGCAGCACCCTTAGGAGGAGTACTGCAGGTGGGAATGACTTCTGAGGGACCATGGGACAACCCAGACCATAACAAGGACACTCCTCAGGGACTGACCCACACCAGGGCAGGGACCTGACACTGATAAAACACAACATCACATGGATCTTACCTTAACTACATGCATATCTACACCATACATTTCTAGCCATTTAGCCTTGTTCAAGTAGCACAATTCAGCCTGCGCTGGGCTCTTACCCCTGTGAACATAAAATTCATACTCTATGGTCAAAAATTTTTGTCCTCTTTAAATGCTTTCAGATTCATTCCCCTAACCCTCTTCTTTGTGTCCCGAATCTTAATGACTAAATGGTATTTCAAGCTTGGCTTATGTTTTTACCCTCTTCCCTTCCAAACGAAAATAAAACAAAGGGCTGAAAATGCAAAAAGGTCTATAATTGCCAGTAAGGATGTAAGTTCAGGTAACAAAGCATCACTAAAATATAACATATTTATTAACAAAAGACAGGAAAATGAGTTTGCTAACACCCTGAAAAAATTTATGTTTGCATGAAAGAAGGGTAGAAAGGGAGAGAAAGAGATTTATTCCAACATAAACAGGAAAAAAACCCGCCTCCTTAAATTATTACAAAATAATCTAAAGAAAAACCATTAAAAAATTAAAACTCACCCCACTAACCTTCCCTAAATTACTGCCTGCCATTTCTAGGGAAGGCGAGGGCTCAAAGCCTTTTTACAATACTTCTCCACTGACAAACATAATTCCCATTTCATGCCTGTTGAAAGGATTTGACTTTAGAAGAGAAGAAAACCTGTTGCTAGAGACCCCACTCCCACACAGGTACTCTACCTGCACTCTTTCCATTTCTGAAAAATGTCAAATTCCATTGCTTCAGTCTGGTTTGGTGCAAACCTGAATTCGGACACGAGCTCTGGTGTGTGCTCAGGGTGCTCACACTCTCCCAACTCAGCTGAAATCAATCAATTGAGAAATTAAAAACAAAGATCTTGGGATGACCAGAAATATTTAATTCCATTACCCCTACAAAGACAAGGATAGTTTGCAAATTCCTAAGCATGTTGCAGAACGCACTTGTGTCAATGCTTTAAGTTAACATCCCAGTCCCTCACTCCTGGCCCCAGTAAATTCAAACCAGACTTTACAGCAGAAGTCAGATAAATCCATTTGCAGGAGCAGAGTAAGGTTGTGGTACAGAATTCTGACCTTCCAGAATGTTATAACTGAACCAGTTCAACTAAATCTGATTCTCTGCATTTTAAAGCACTTATAGGAAATAAAGTTTCTATTAAAAACAATCATCAATGCATCTGCTGTTTTAGAAGTGGTTACTTTGAAACTTCCTCTCGTTACATACTTTTCACTCCCTAACACTTCCCATTCTATTGCATGTGTTGTTATTTTTCCTGGTTTAGGACAAATTTAGGAGTTATGTTTCTGTTCATGTAAAAACATGAAGGGAATACCTAATCTCATTAAACCAGTGATAAAGCTGTGTGGTTTTTAAAATCACAGTGGTAGTGTAATATTCAGATTAATAATTTTTAAGGAAAATCGCTGAAACATGAACACCATTAAGGTGTCACTTTCTACTTATATGCTTAGGCTCTGGTGTTTTCTTTTCTAGGAGCAGAGCACTTTCCAACTCCACTGAGCTCAACAGGAGCCGCAAGTGCTGAGCATCTCGGCAACTGACACCACTGACTGCCTTGTGTCTGTGACAGCTTTGCTCCTGGAGCCTCTCAGCTGTCCTTAGAGGCTGCAGCGTCACTGCCGCAGGACTGTGTGGAAAGCATCAGTGGAAAATACACTCTTCAGAAATACCATGTGTCACCTGACATATGATGTGATTCCCAACCAGGCCTTTGTCAGTCAGCGTTTCTTAACTGTTTACTATTTTTACTACTACTACCAAAAGAAAAATAAAAATGAAAAAGCATTGAGGGAAACAAAATCCCTTGAAGAAAACAGTTTTATTCCTTCAGGGCGCTTTTACACTTAACAGCTGCAAAAATTTCAGTCACAGCCAGACTTCAAAAATATTTAACAGGATCCATCAGTAGATAGGAAGTTACATTCAAAATCCAATCTGTTGGCTGATAACACCTACTAGGTGGTTTTGAGAACTTGAGCTTTGCTGAAACATTTAGCAGTCCTGAGGATATTACAGAGATTGTGTTCATTTGTCTTCATTTTTAATAACTGTCTCACACACACATTTTACTCTCAACAGAGTGAGTTACAGTATTCTTATCTCTGTTGAAGAAAAGGACATACAGATATCTCAGCTCTGTGGCTGTTTCATCAAAGCTGGAAGCCTATTTAACCAGATATTAAGAATTACTGGCAGTCCAGTCTCCAGTATATAAGAGGGAGCTACAGCAAACACATTAGCAAGGAGGAATTCAAGGCGATAGAAAAAGGTATGGATCTGAAGTTTGATGTGTCGCCAACCATCCAGGAAAAACATGGGAGATTTCTCTACTACTTAACTGAGAGAGAAAGCAGGCAACATAGGCTGACTGCTATAAAGAAGAGGTATAGGGATGAGAAGAGTAATGAGCTTGTCGGACAGAAGACACACAGAGATGCTCAGCAGCACTAATATTTTGAGATGCAAGGGCACAGCACAACACCCATCTCTTCATTTCTGCCTTCATGACATGCTTTGGCATGCCCCTTTTTGACACTTTTTTGGGGGGAGGGTGGAAGCTGGGGCAGGTGTTACATAACACATGTATATACATTGTCAGTGTTCTTCAAAAATAACCTGGGGGACATTTTCAAAAGGAGGTTTCCTAGAAAGTTTTTGAAAACTCCAAAAAGATTTTAAAATAAATATCTCATTCTTTTATACAGAGGGAAAAAAAGTTTGCAATATTCTGTGAAAATGTCTTATGATTAGAACTGAAAACTGGAGATGTGAGAAAATGTTTTCCTTTTCAATATAATTAGCAGCTTCAAAAATATATCTGGTTAAACACTAAGACCATATAACACTAATGATGCAGTTAAAAACTAACTGTAACAGTGAGAACTCAAATTTGATGATAACATTTTTCCACAGATAGCCCCTAAGTGAAGCCTAATATTACCTATCTGCTTCATATGTTACCCCATACTACAAACCAATGTTACTTGCTACAGCATTTCCTTCATGGCACTGGCAGCAAATCAACACTTAGAAAGATGATTCACCAAAAAAACCCAAAAAAATCAACCTTGCTACTGGAAACCAAGAATTATTTTAACAGAAAAGTCCCTTGATAAAAACACATGTATGAAAATTAAAGCTTATCCGTGAAAAGACTTTTCTTTCAAAGAATGATGCCTAAATAGCAATTCATTGCTTTTTCCTCACTCTTAGGAAAGCCAGACTAAGGAGCAAGACTGCATTTTACAAAGAAAATGCAACTCACTGAGGAGGAAAAAATTGAAATTTCTTTATACTTTGCTGCTTAATTATGTTTCCAATGTCAATAAAACATAGCAAACTTTACACCAAAAATGCTTATTATTATGTATGTCAGCAAAGAGAATGAATGAGTTGCAATAATAAAATAATTCTGGACAAGCTTATTGAAATGATGTCAAAACAGTGGAAAACTGAAACAGGAAAAAAAAAAGACAGCAAAAAAGTATAAAAGCATGTTCCCACAGACAGCATCAAAGAGTATTAATTTTGGTAGATAGCTGGACACATCATAACCATGATGGACAGCTATTGTTTTGCATTTACACAGTAATCACAGGTGTCAGCTGTTACCCAAAATGTTGAGGCATAAACGTATCATTCTTTGCTTGGTCCTCCTTGCTTGGACCAGATGTGAGGCTACCACAGTTTTTTTCTGTGGAAATGTAAGAAACAAATTAAATCTGGGCTCTGCATTTCCTCCATCTCAAAAAGACAAATGGAGTCTGCCTGCAGCAGTTCTTTGCATACCTGACAATCACAGTTGCGACAACTGGTGCAGTAAAGCAATGCCTTAAGATTTACACCAGTTTTGCCTGTCAAACCCATCTAGAATCACTGAGTTACTTCCAATGCTGGATTAAACTAAGAAACTCTGCCTAAGCTCTGTGTGCCATGGCCCAACCACCAATGAAACAGGAAGAGAATTTTTCCATTTCAATTAATGTTGCTGCTGATTTGCTTAGAATGGTCCAGCTCACTGCACTTTCTTTTAGAGAAAAATGAACTTGATTTGAGCTTCATTATAAAATTTTTCTCCCCATCTGCAAAGCAAATTTCTCAAAATGGAACAAATATTTGTATTAACATGCTTGCAGCAACAAAAAACCCACGCTGTTGCACAATAATGTAATGAAATCCAGTGTACTGGAGTTGCTTTTACATGGTGAAATCCATGCTCCTGCCACAGAAGTGATCTTAGTTCTTACCCTCCCATATAATTTTCTCCTCTCTAGTACCTGCCACTCCTTCCCTCCTGCCCTGCAACCATCTCCTGAGTCACCCACTGTGGAGGCTGCCTCTCAAAGGCACTGTTCAGGCAGCAGGAAGGAAGCCCAAATTCACAGGCACCCACCTCCCACAAACTGTGTGAAGGGCCAGCTGGCTCTTCAGCCTCAAGTGGTAGTACTTGTGCACACACCACAGCTTCTCCCTCAGTAGGGAGCTATTTTGGGTCCTTCTTCCCTGATCAGCCCTGGGTTTCCAGGAAACTTTTGTCTAGCCATGCTTTGAGTCTCCCTCCCCATATCAGGTGTGCTGATATTGGCTAATATAGTTCAGAAGTTACGAATGCAAGTCAAGAAATGGATCTCCCTAAAATTCTTCTCCTTGGGTAAAAGAATGGCATTTATATATGATCAGTAAGAATGCATTAGTAACAAAAGAAAATAAACCAGTAGGTGAGTTTTTTAATAAATTAGGACAAACCACTTTCAAAAGATTGCATACCTTGAAGACACAGAGCTGCTAGTTCAACAGCAGTTTCATATGGGCATTTCAGTCTTAAAAACAAAACAAAAAACGAAACTATAAAAATCATGTCTCTTGCCAGTGAATTCCTCTTGCAATAAAGCTAAAAAGAAGCCTGACACGAAAATTGGAAACATTAACTTCCACAAACTACTAATGCTATGAAACATCTACAATTGTTACTTGTATATTATTATTTCCTAAGTTGGTACATTCTGATTAGCATTAAACATGATACACTTCACCATAAAACAAGAACTAGCAGAGAAAACACTAAATCAACTAGGGGACCATTTTTACTTTAACACTGTATTTTAGAATATATGGCTTTGAAGTTTTTTGTTTCTGTAATTAAAAAAAAATAGTACAGGTGTGAATGAATATCGGTCTGGGTAAGACTATAAAAACACAAAGTATTTTTTCAGAGTTGACCTGAACAAAAAGTGTTGTACTTCAACTTTCTCATCCTCTATTTCACCCATCATACTGAAAAAATGTGGCAAGCCCATGTTAACATTTTCAAGTCATAAAACCCAGGACTGTTTTCACTTTCTTTAAACATTTCCATCACCTTATCAATCCATCAAAATCTTTACTCATTCTATTTGTCAGTAATATATGCATGATATTCACAAAGGCCTATATGTCTGTATTCTAAAGAAAACCAAAATTCACTAGGAGATTAACTATTATAAATTCTTTAAATTACAGCTGCAAGTGTAAAAAGGTACTTACTTCCCTGAAAGAATGTCCTGCCGGAGCTGTAATACAAACAGGTACCTGAGAAATAAAAAATTCAGAAAGTCAAAAGTAATTACAGTGGCATCCTTCTAGTTCAACTGGCTGAAAGAATGAAAGATTATCCCAATTCATTGAGTAGTAACAGCAATTTGAGTAACTTGTTCTTTACAAAAAAAAAAAAAAAAGCCTTTGGGATCACACAGATACACCTTGCAAGCTTCAAAGCTCCCACAGCTTTCACTAGAATCAAACAGAAGAATATTTTTTGTACACTGGTTGTTTCAGGATATTGTCCAAAGTCTTGCTGTTTAGGATGTGCTCTGTCTGAGCATACACCACAGCAATCTAAATGTTGCTAACACTCCAGTGTTCTCCTGAACTTGGGTCTTACCTAATTCAGGCAGGAATCGAACTACAGTATCTAGAAACAAAACACAGATAAAGGCATGTAGGCTTCAGGGCTGCCTTCTCAAACACAAAACATGGAAAAAGTCCACATTGGGCAAAAGGAAAGGTTCATACCAGAACGTCACTTAAAAATAGCAGAGAAGTTCCAAATAAAATCTCCATAGAGTTCACACATTTATTTAATATGTCAAGTAGGAATTTACAGCCTTCAAACTGTCGTAGTATTTTAAGTTGTTGCTTTGCTAATCTTTAGTTCTAGGCACACTTCACTGATGCCACTCAGAGCTGGGCTCTGAGGCATGCACAAGTGCCCTGGTCATGCAAGGGCTGTATGGAGGACAGGAAGGCAGAGGGAGGCTCTGCATTGCTCTGGACACTGTGGGGTGAGGCTTGCAAAGATGAGTGACTCAAGAAGGAAGCATGAAGCACTCCTGAGAGCACAGTAAACACAAACACAAGTAAACACAAACACAGTAAACACAAACCTCTCCTGTCTTTACAAAGGATGCTGGAAAGACAAAGAGGGTTTTTTTTCATCACAGAGACTATGGAGTGAATGTGGCAAAGGAAAAATAGTTGGAATCAGACAGGGAAAACAGAAATGAAAAGGAAGATTAAGATTTCTCATGATAACACTGGAGCAGAATCAGATTTATCCATGTTAGCTCTTTGGTACATTCACATACTTGGCTAATACCTGACTGCCAACCAAATCTGGCTATTTGCATGTGTAGATTAAAGGTAAACAAGTATACATCCCACCCTTATTGATAGTCCAGATGATTCACGAACTCTTCCAAATTTGCAAGAAGACTCTGGGCAGTGTACCTATGAGTTTCAGGGGGTTTGTGCAGTGCTGCAGCCCCGCTCTGGTTGGTATGTTTTCTGTGTGCAGGCTGACACACACTGGCGTCTCAATTGTTGCTACCCCAAATCAGCAAGATACCCTAGAAAATTGTCCACAACACACAAGTACAGACTCGTTCCTCTGTTGTCCTTCTAACTAAACTAAATAATCAGGTTGCACACAAGTGACAGAAGCTGTCTTCCAAAATGCACTGTATTTAAACTGTGTTTTTATACTGAAAAAATGATAGAACAGGTGAAGGGTTTTGATGCTTCCCAATACTGTGTTAATTAAGAGAAAATGATCTTTGTAGCTTTACTAGAAATTGAAGTCTACTAGAAAGCAGACCTCCAGAAGGAATTCTAAACACCCTCTACCTGGAAAGTTCACAGTTACTGTTAAGGATGATTTTTCTTCCACTTGGAATGATTTTGAGTATACAGTTATTAATCTTCACTTTTCACTCAACATGCTACATGGAAAATATGATACAACTAGCATAAAGACTTAAACCTCCACAAATTAAAATAATTAAAAATTTAAGAATTATATAATGCTTCAATTCAAAATTACTTCCCCCCCCAAAAAAAAAAAAAAAAAGGAGCCCAAATTTTTCTTTCAGTTTCACAGTGGTCTTCTGTCAAACTTATAATTACAGGAAATTGTTCACAACACTGAATATTTAGCTGACTAAAGTGTTTTTCTAATTAAAATTGTCTTCTAAAATGTCACATTTCAGCAATAATTAGATCACAAGGCATCAGAGGTTCATACTTTCAGACAAAATGTCTTACTTGATCACAGCAATGATCACATAGCTCCAAAACCCAATCTCACTGGCACTAGGATCATATGCTTCAGAGCACTAAGCAAGAAATCTTGTGGTAGACAGTAATGCCATAATTTGACCACAGGGGAAATGTAATACTTCTCAGACATGCACACTGATGTATGAAGACTTAGATCAATTTCCAGAAAACACATAATATTTCTACTAATTTAACTGCATCTTCTCATTAGAGATGTCCATAAATCATCCTGATTTTTGGATTCTCTTAAGATCTTATACTCAGCTATATAAGTGGCAGGGATTTCTTTAAGCTAATTATACAATCTATAGGGATATGCCCTTTTATTGAATTATCACTGCTGGACTAAATTGATAATGAATATTGAAGACTCTATGTCTATATCATGAGGTGGTGACAATTAGCCCTTTAATCTTGTCTCAGGCAGTGAAAAAACCCCATGGTCGGCACAGGAGACAGCAAGGGAGACAGTAATCATTTGCCTGCAGGCATAAGTTTAATGTAAACATCACATGCACATGAACTTCGACAATCAACCATCTTTAAACACCTTAGGCTGATTAGGAGTACACTGGTTATTGCCAAGCAAATTAGAAGACACAGAAAGAGCCCTACGGTGAGAAGCAGAACAAAAGAAAAGATAAAGTAACATTAAGATAGATACTACTACACAGAGAAGACACAAAGTAAGCAGATACAGATAAGTACATCCTTTGCAACAGCTGCTCCTTTCCCAGCTTTCAGAATATCCTCTGAACCAAGGTGCTACAAATCTAGCAAGGATCTACAAAAAACAGCCCAGAAGATTGAAACTAAAGCTTCCAGATATTTGTAGAGTGACGTTATGCAATGCAGCCTTTTGCTTTACAGAGAACCAGGGGAAGCAGAAGTGATTCAATCAACTCTCAACCCAGAGCTCAAGCTGGCTATTCCCACAATTCTTTACCCTTGGTGCCATTATTAAATCACCCCCAAGTCTCAGGCCAGGAGGAACAAAGCAGGGCACTGGCATTTTAGCAGGACATAATGGAAACCCCTCTCAGAGGATGGCAGGATTTCAAGAGCAGGTGTCTGTAGCTTTCCCTACCCAACACTGTCTTTCTTTGCCAGCTTCCAAGCACCAGAACACAGCATCTCCACAGCATTGGAGAGGCCCATGAATGCTTTCTGGCAGCAAATAAAAACCATGATGTTTCTCTGACAGTAGGAAAACACCTAAGAAAGCAGACAAAATGAGCACTCTTAATAAGAAAGCTCAAATCACCTGCTTGCACGTGCCTTAGATGTCTTAAATCCCCCATGAGCCACACATAGTTCCTACCTTGTAAACTCTTCATGACATAGTTCCTACCTTGTAAACTCTTCATGAAGGTTGTTTGGTTCTGACGAGTAGTACTTAATTCGAAAATGCAACGTGTATGGAGGTCCAACTGCACATGCAGAGATTTTAAATGGGGAAAAAAGGTTTATACTCGTTGCAGTCCTCTTAAGGCAGAACAGTCCCCACACCATGCCACAACCCAAGAGACCCAAAATTAATTACATTTTTCAAATACATCAAAGAAAATATTTTTTTAATTTAAAAATGCATGCAATAAGCAAAAAAATATGATTACCATATTTTTTGATATTCATTAATGCAAATTTATCAAGGTAATCTTCCATTTAGCAAACACATTTTTTGTCCAAAGAGGGATGCCTCACAGCACATCGTGAATGACAGCACTTTCCAAGTACATTCCCTGTTGCTGGGCCCAGGGGAAAATGGAAGGAAGAGGGAAGGAGAGGGTGGTGCTCCTTCTTACCAGGCACAAACACTACTCAAAAAAAAAAAAAAAACCCTAAAAAAAAAAAAAAAAAAAAAAAAAAAACCCCCAAAAAAAAAAAAAAAAAAAAAAAAAAAAAAA